CGTTACAATACGCCGGCGAACCCCAATTAATAAAACGCACTTTGTTACAATTATCCTTTCGATTTTAACATTAATAGCATCGAACGTTTAAATAAAGTTACAACCCGTTACCGTTGCGTTAAAGCTTCGAACCCGGGCTTACGCAATAAAAACTTTGGATAAAATGTATTAAGCCCGAAATGTTATTTTTGTATTAATTAATTAGCGTACAAAGCGTTAAAAAGCAAGTAACGGCGCGAAGCGAATAGCGCGTTACCGTACCGGCGCGGATTTCGCGGGCGTTTATATTATTAATTAATATAACGAAAAAAACAAAAAAAAACGAAATAACGATAGGAATATAAAGCAACGATAGCGTTAAACCGGCGGATTAAAAAATCGTAATGGTAAAAATGGTAATAATAATTAAAGGAAAAAATTAAACGAACGTAACGCAAAGCGGGGAAAAAATTAAAAAAATGGCAAAAAAACGCTAACGCAACGCGGGAATTTCGCTTTAAAAAAGCGATAAGCAAAGCATTGCAAGCCCGTGCGCAAAAAAAAAAAACAAAAAAGCGCCCCAAGCAAACGAAGCTGTGCACGCAACGCTATACCGGCGCAAAGCATTACGTTAGCGCAATTGGGACAATTGCGATTTTGTAGTAAGGTATTGTTACGGTACGCGTCGGGGCACTTGGGAAGGAACTTAAGGCCGCACTTTTAACGCGCCAACGTTACGCTTACAAAACCGCAACAAAACGCCAAGGACGCTTTGCCCAAATAGCTTCCTTTTCGTGCAATAACAAAGCCTTTTTTATAACAATAAGGTGTAAGCCGTAGCATTAAGTTTTCGAACCATTTCGTTTAACGTTTCGTTACTTTTTTTTTGTTATTATATAAGTATGGTTTAAATGGTTAGTAATTATTTTAATAATTTTTTGTAAGTAAGCCAAATAATGCCGCCACTTTTTAAAAGCTTTTACGATTGCTAGCAATTTTAAATTAAAAATTGCATAGCGCAGCTTTTTTTATTGCAGCTTTTTTAATATGTAAGCTACCGGGTGCTACCGGCCGTTTTGCAATTGCAATAGCACCGTTTTTATTGCAAAAGCCAAAGCGTTAATCCGCACGCACAACGGTTTCGAAAGGTTAAAATGCATTAATACCGGAACTTTCGTAAATAATAGCTTTAATTTGCAAAAAGCCTTTTTCGCAATACTTTTTAAGTAAAATACGGTATTTTTGCTAAAAAAATTCGTTAAAAGTACAATAATTTTTGCGTAACCTTTTACAAATTTCCGATAATACCCCGTAAAGTTTAAAAATACCTGGATATTTTTAACGCTTTCCGGTATTTTTTACTTTAAAATTGCAATAACTTTATCCAGCAAAATTTTAACCCCGAATTTAATTATCCTAAACCTTAAAAAATTAATACTATCCGTTTCGAATTTGCATTTAACCGGGCTAACGTAAAGCTTAAACCGTTCGAATCGTTTTAGCACCGTTTTTATTGCTTCGCGGTGCTTTTTTTGTATTTTTAAAAAAATAAAAATATCGTTTAAATATACAATGCAATTGCTATTAATTAATTTTTTAAGCGTTATATTAATAAAGCTTTAAAACGTTATTAAAGCGTTGGTTAAGCCGAAAGGCATTATTAAATATTCGTAATGTCCGTATTTGCAACGGAAAGCAATTTTCCATTCGTTCCCTTTCCGGATCCGAATCCGGTAATAAGCGTTTTTCAAATCAAATTTGGTAAAGTATTGGTTTTTAAATACCCGGTTAAATATTTTATAAATTAACGGAAATGCTAACCGGTTTTTTTTAATAACCTTATTAAAATTTCGGTAATCGATACAAAAACGGAACTTTTTATCCTTTTTTAAAATAAATAAAATCCCGGCGCTAACGGGATTGGTTAAATGCCAAATCCAACCCTTTGCTATAACTTTGTTAAAGTATTTCCGGAAAATTTTTAATTCCTTTTTGGATAAAAAATAAATGCTTTCGTAAAGCAGCATCGTTTTTTTTTAATTTAATTGCGTAATTCCAATTTATATGTTTTAACAAAGGGTTTAATTTATAAAGCTGCGCATATTTTGCAATTATCCCTTTAACCCATTCCGGAAAAGTTTTTAACCTTTTTTCGGGGTTTTTCGGGGTTTCCGAACGTGCAACCGTTAGTACGGCTATTGCTTGTCCCAATTAAACCAGCTTTTTAGCTATTTCCAACGAAATTATTTTAACCTTTTTGGTAATTACCAAAAATTTCCACTTTATATTTCCAAACCGGATTTTAATGTTTTTTTACTAAAATTAAAGCATGTTTAACGTAATATTGTACCCGGCCCGGGGCATTATTACGTAAAATACCATTAATTTTCGGGTTATTTCCTAGCCATCCGTTATTTGGGTTTTGCACTTTTTTTTCCCCTATATAAATATGCGCTTTTTGGTATTAAGCTACGCTAAATGGCCCCCGTTTAGCACCGGTATTTTTTTTGCTTTTACCAGCAAATGGTTATGCATTAAATTAACGTTGCTTTTATTGTTAACCAATGCTTTTAGCTTTACCCGGCAACTGTTAATCCGTAAACATATTTCGGTTTCCCAACGCATTTTGGCCGCTAAAGCGCACTTTTAAGCTTTAATGCTTAAATGGCCAAATAACGGTATCGAATTAAATAGCAATATTTTGCTTTTTTTAAAGCACGCCAGCCGGATATGGCCCAATTTTTTATACCCGTAACACCGTATTTCGGGCTTTTTCCCTTTTGCCTTTTATATGGTTGCTAAAGCCAACGGGGTTTCCGGGTTATCCGTTCGTATTTTGCATATTGCAACGATATAATTTAATTACCCGCATTTAAAGCAAATAACCAGCTTTTTAAGGGCTAAAATATTTGTATTCCCCGGGGTCCTTTTGGATTATTCCGATATTATTTCGGTTTTAAAGGCTTTGGCTTGCAAATTTTCCATTATATAAAGGAAGCCGCTAAACGTTACCCGTTTTTAAATTTCGGGGCGAAACCGGTTAAATAGCAATATTATTTTTGTCCATTTAAACGCTAGCTTAAAAAGGTTGTTTTTTACCAAATTTTAACGAATTCGAAATGCTTCGAACGATTTGTGCTTTTTTTATTTAATAACGGTATTCCCCGCAAGCTTTTTAATTATTTGCTACATTTGCAAATTGGGATTTTTCGATTTTGCTTAAAGCTATTGCAAAAAATCGGTTTAAATAAACAATACCCCGGTATTTAAATAATGCATTTGCTTGTATTTTGTTTATTGCGCCCGTTAATAATGGTTAAAAGTGCTGGAAATTATTTAAACCTTTACACGGTTTTTACCGTAACGTTCCTTTTTATTTTCAAAAATAAATTTGTAATTGCTAATATAATGGGCAATGTTTTGCTAAATTGCCAATTTTTTAAATATAAAAAGCTTAAAAGTAATTTTGCTTTACGTAAAACCTTTTTGTTGTTTAAAAGTATTTTTTTATTTTTGTTTAAACCTTTATGCGCATGTTTTAACCTTTTATTTTGGATTTTTTAAATTAAACGGGCGCGTTTGCTTTGGGCTTCCAACGCGTTATTTATTTTTTGCAATTTTTCCACGAAAAGGTTTTCGAAATTGTCGGAAATTTGCGGGGCTTTTTTGGTATTTTGTTCCGGTAACTTAACGGCCCTTTCTAACGTGCTTAACGTAACGTTAAGCGTTATTATAAGCGGTGCAAAATTGCAAATGCCTTTTTTAAATTTGTTCGATCCTTTCCGGTAATTACCCAGGCTTGCTTTTTAAATAAAAAAAGTGTAAAAAAAGGAATAATATGTTAAAGGTTAATCGGTGCAAAAGCGGGTAATTACCGGGTTACGGGCCGAATACGGTATTTTTTTTATTAAACTTTCGTAAATTTTTTACTAAAAGTATTATCGCTAACAAAAATTGTTTTTTTTTAATTTCCTTTTTTTTCGTACCTTTTTAAATATGCGGGGTTGGTCTTTTAAATTTTCCGCGCTTTAAGCGCTTTCGTGTAATTTAAGCTTTATGTTAAATTACAGGGTCCAAGTTGGGGCTTTGCAGCACGATCACAGCAATTTATAAGGTTACGTTTACAAGGGTCGGGCCTGTCAAGCACTATAACATAATGCTAACAGGCCCACGTTGGTTGTTAAAAATAAGTGCTATTCCAGGGAGAGGGTGCCAACTCAATGCCTTTCCTTATATACCCACCGACGTTAATTTTAAGGGTTTTCCCCCTTAAAGGGTTGCGGTGCCGCGCGCGATTTTCCGCAATATTATTTTGTATGGGGATTGCAAAAAATCGACCCACGGCCACCAAAACGATTTCCGCGTTCGGCC